AAGAGACAGGTATTTGGCCCAGGCTCTGGATCCAACAAGCCTCAGGAGTTTGGACGTGCCACCTGTTGACTCCACACCTGTTTTTCATTGGCAGGATTGAGCAGCCATTTGTAAAGCTGCTTTTACTGTGCTCTTCATGGCTCCATTTAGCACTCTCATTTTAGTGTTTTCTGACTTGGAAGTTTTCATTAGGCACTGGCTTCATGCATAATAATGTTCCACTTGTACCCAGTGGTTGGTCAGTAAATTGCATCTGCATAGCTGAAGGCTTTCGATAACTAGAGGACTTCTTGGTCCTTTATCTAAAAAGCAGGGAGTACCTACTCCTGGTGGATTAAAAAGGCCCTCAGATTCTTTGCAGCTCCTCTCATCAAAACATAGAGGCCGTTTCCCTACCTCTTGATTTTGGGCTAGTTTTGTGACTTGCTTTGGCCAATAAAATGCTATTCAAGTAACATGGCGTGACTTCCAAGCAAGTCCACAATGGGTCTTGCAGTTTCCATTCTCACTTTCTTTGATCTCATGAGGTCTAAAGAGGAAACCTGCACTAGCTCTAGGGAAAGGCCACATGGAGTAGAAATGAGGCATGCCAGCCAAGAGCCCCCACCAACTCTGAGACATATGCATAAAGCCATCCAAGGTCAGCCAGCCCCCAATCAACCTGTTCACTGACCACGAGTGTTTGTGTGACCCACTGGCACCACATGGAGCAGTGGCTGGCCATCCCAGCCGAGCTCTGCCCGAACTGCCGACCCACAGGATCATGAGTAAATAAATTCTGTTATAAGCCATGTTTGGGGGTGGTTTGCTGGACAGCGATGGGTAACTGACACACTACTCTGTGTCAGGAACTGTGTCAGGTGGAGGGAATACCTGGGTAACAAGAGATAGTCCCTCTTCTGCAGATGTTAGAGTGTAGTTAGGGAGAAAGACACGTAATTTCAATGTAATGTCATCAGGACTATAATTATAGGAGGTTGGGTCCACGGCAATTTAGAGAAGGGGTGTCAACCCCAGAACTAGGGAGCTGACAAAGGTTTCTCAGAAGAGAAAATATCTAAAAGCAGTTAATGAGACCGATTTTTCCAGGCTATTTCAAGGATGAGAAACTGCAGGTACAAAGGCTGGAGGGAGCTAGATGGGGCTCCAAGGAGAATGCGAGCATTCTCTGTAATTACAGTGTGAGGGTGTCAGGAGCAGACTGGAGGGGTAGCTAAGGTGAAGTTCTCCTGGCCTTAAGTAGAATTTTCTAGCATTTGGTCTTTAAACTGAGAGTGATGGGAACCAAAGAAGAAATAGTTTCCTTCCTCCCTCCCTTCATCTTGGCATTCATCTGACCAAAGGCATCAATGACACTCGCTGAATCAAAGAAATTTCACAGGCAGGAGGATGTGTGGAGTAAATAAAGCCAGACACTTCCCTGGTGCTTAACTTGGCTAAAGGGAAGTGATATTAAGCCAGGGTCCAGGATGACGGGCATTAGGATGTGAGTAAAATGGACAAGTAGCAGGCAAGAAGATGACATTTCCCAAAAGGCTGTCCTTCTTTTGTCGATTAATGAACACCCGGGGACAGAAAGCATTTAAGACTCATCTTTTAAAGATGTTATAAAAATTTTTAAAGCTGAATGGCAAGGCTTCCCACTTATCAGCTTTGTGGCCTTGGGCATAAGACTAACCTCTTTATGAGTCAGTTTCCCCAGTTTTAAAATGGGAATAATAATACTGACCTCACAGGTCAATAAGAACAAGTGACATATAGTTTTGGTGCAGCACCTGGTACAGAGTAAGCCCTCCACAGAAGGTCCCTAGGGCAGGAGTCCCCAACCCCCGGGCTGTGGACTAATACCTATCCGTGGCATGTTAGGAACTGGGCTGCACAGCTCAGGTGAGAGGCGGGCCAGAGAGCTGAGCTTCATTTGTATTTGCAGCCGCTCCCCAGAGCTAGCATCATCGCCTCAGCTCCACCTCAGATAATCAGGCATTAGATTCTCATAGGAGCTCCGGGCCCTGGTGCCAAAAAGGTTGGGGACCGCTGCCCTAAAGGGGAAAAGGCTGGTGTTGGGCGGAGGGGCGGGTAACATAGGCTTTAGAATTAAATAAACTGTGTTTGAATCCAGGCTATGTCACTTAGTAGTTCTTGCAGCTGTGTGAACAATTTTTAGAGACAATTTTTAAACTTGCTCAAACTTAGTTTCCACAACCAAAAGGTAAGGATGGTAATACCTTGCAAGGCTGTGATGAGGATTAAAGGAGATCATACATGTTAAGTACTGTAGCATAGAGACAAACATACAGTATAAATGCACATATAATAATATGTATGGGGACAATAATAGTTCTCAAATGTCGATCAACAGTATTAATATTAAACGTTCTATGTTACTTCAAAATCCTATTCTCTGACTAAAGGTACAGATCAGAAAAGTTGGATTACCAGAAACATATATATATTTATATATATTATATATATATAAATGTTTATATATATAAACATTTTTAAAACATAAAATCAACATTTTTAGCACGGTATGTTGATTCCACCAGTACCAATATATTATGATAACCTATCACAAAAAAAATGGCTGAGGTACAACATTTATATTTTATTAATATATAATAAGAAAGTAACCTTGCCATTAAAATGCATTATATGAAATTAAGAAGAATTTAGAATTCTCTGACTCCCTAATTTGAGGAATTTCCTCTATACACCAAGCTCCCAAATCTATTCTTTTCTAGATAAAAGAAAAGAAAAGAAACATGCATATATACAAGTGAGCTGAAAAGTTACAAAACAAGATGGTGCTTTTGGTGAAAAATAATCCCACCAGATAAGCAGCATGTCATGTGCTTAGAATGTTACACCAGAAAGTTAGTAAAAATTCAGGCCAATAAGGCAATTTAGTTTCAAGTTTTATCACACGCGGGCCGAGTTCTAGCATACTTCACTTAAAAAGGGACAACTTCAAGGTGAAATCTTGCCAGAGGCTTGATTTTGAAATATATGTATACAAACTTCTCTGTTTTGACATTCAACATATTCAGCATTAATTCTAGAAAGCTGCTGGAGCTGATTGAAAGAACAAAATGACTTAGGCTCTGAGAGAGAAAACAAACAATTTTAAGTAGTATCTCCCTATCTACCCACCATATCATCGCAATGTTTGTTTTTATTTTTTAACTAATGCCATAGTTAAAGAAATTAAGAAAAAGCCATTTTTGATGGCTTTTAAGCACTTGAATGCTTTAAAATCTTCTTCAAAATGCTAATTAACAGGTACTATTCCTTTGAATGTTGCTTTAATTTGAAGATCAGTAAAATTTATCTACATCCTTTAACAAACAGTTTCATGCTCATTTTGGTGAGAGTACAAATTAAGTCTGTAAAAACCACTCTATTGATTCTGATGAAGAGAATTTTAGTATGTTGCTATTTTGGCTAGAGAAACATTTCGACCATTTTCGGCAAACTAAGAAAAAAAAAATAAAACAGTGGATAAAAACTACAACTAGAAAACAGGTAAGGCAATTCTACCAAGTAAGAAAATTCTTTCTCAAATTTTTTCTACACTGACATAGTTGTTTTTAAGATGTATTACCTGGTTCTTCCACATTCAGACAGTGTATGAAACTCAAGATGTGTATTTATAAAGAAAAGATATGTATGTCCAAAGCCATCCATTTGTATGGAAGTCTTGTCCCCATTGCATTGCTTTGTGTCATTTTGGCATTGCTCATCCACAGGGTGCCCAAAGGGTTGGTAGGTCCATCTGCTCAGCACTCTAATTCCTCCATGACTTCCATGACAATCGTCCGCGGGCCCGTCAGAATCAGATTGCTCACGGTCCGGTAGTCTACATGCAGCACATTGAGCCCATTTACAGAGACGACAAACTGACAGACCTAAAGGAAAGACAAAGAAGAAAAATCTACTACAGCTCCTAGTTTTTCACAGATGTCCAATAAAGACTGTATAGTTCTAACAGGCGATGTCATTCTTAAAATACCCAACTATACCCAGCTGACAACTGTAATTCAATAATTTCTGAGAAGCTACACTTTTTCTTGGAAGGCAATATAATGGAAAAAGTATTTGTTGTACAAAACTGGGTTTAAATCCTAACTCAGCAACTTACTAGCTTAAGCTAGGTATTTAAATTTCTGAGCCCTATTTCCTGAACTCTAAAATAAGGATGATTGATAATATCAATGATAATAATAATAATAATAATAATACCAACTCTAAGATTGTTGTAAGAATTAAATGAGGCAAAGTATATAAAGCTTCTACTATGGTGCTCTGAACCTATGGGGTACTCAATACATTTTCATAGTCAGAGCATTTATGGCTGTTATTTATTCACTTGGACCCAGTGTATAGGAAGACTCTATGGCCTGGTGTTCCCAGGGCAATCCTCTTTTCTGCTATTTCTGCATAATTATTAATAGTGCTTCCTTTCACTTGCCAAAGTATCCCAGGTGAAATAAGTTCCACACATTTCTCTATTTTCCGTCCTTATGAAAATGGATGAGGCCAACTTTTATATTGTCAGTTAATCAACCTGTGATAGGCAAATTACAATAAGAAAGTAAAAGGGCATCATTCAATAATGAGAGGCCACTCTGGATATGTCATAGGGAGTATGAAACTGACTCATAGCTACTGCCCCAAATGGAAGTACTTCTCTTAATGGCTACTTTCCATTCAGCTGACACAAATGGTGTATCTGTTGTATGGCTGAAGAGGTAGATATTCACCATAAGTGATTTGTTTATTTCACTCAAATAGAAAAACGGAAAGACACACAGATCTCCAGCTGTCAAAGATAACAGCAAAACAGAATCCAACAGAAAAAAAGTGCTTGGCACATGGTAGGTACTTGTGGTGAGCTGTATAAGTCTGTACAGTGCTTGGCACATGGTAGGTACTTGTGGTGAGCTGAATAACATCCCCAACCCTCAAAGATGTCCATGTCCTAATCACCAGAATCTGTGAATATGTTAGTTCACATGGAAAAGGGAGATTACACAAGGGAATTACACAGCTGAGTGTAACACAGGGGAATTATCCTGGGTTACCTAGGTGGACCCAGGATTACGGCTGCAGATGGAATTGGGTTGATAATCAGCTGAGTGTAACAGGGGAATTATCCTGGGTTACCTAGGTGGACCCAATGTAATCACAGGGATCCTTATAAGAGCGAGGCAAGAAAGTGAAAGGCGGAAGTAGGAGATGTGACAACACAAGCAAAAGTTTGGGATGCTACAAGGAAGGGGCCAGGAGCAAAGAAATGCAAGTGGCCTCAAGAAGCTGAAAAAGGCAAGGAAATGGTTTCTCCCCTCAGAACCTCCAGAAGGGATGCAGACCCGCTGACACCTTCATCTCAGGCTTCTGACTCCAGAGCTAGAAGATGATACATTTGTATTGTTTTAAACCAACAAGTCTGTGTTAATCTGTTACAGCAGCCATAGGAAACTAATGAAGTACTCAATAAATATTCACTGATGAATGAATTGAATGAATAAGTGTATTAAGCCAAGAAGCACAATTAGGATTGAGCCTAAAGATTTTTTTTTTGTTTTTTGTTTTGCTTCTTATAAAGTATCCCTTCACTTACGGAGAAAATAAGAAAATAAAAAGGAAGAAAGAAAAGAAGACAAAAAGGAAGAAGAGGGAGAAAGTGGGGAGAAGGGAGGGAAAGGAGAAAGTTTGGTCGAGATTGATTAACTTAATGTTCTCCCATATCTGTTGTTCTGTTGATCTAATCACCATATTTCTTTAAGTATAATGCTTAAATAATTCATGTGTACACTTGCTCCCGATTACTAATCGATTAATTAATGTTAACAACTCAAAGAATGTGAAAATACTAAAACACTTGAAAATCACCATTTCCCTCTATTGTTTTCTGAGTGAGTAATAGTAATAGAAACCCAAACATTGTATTATTATAATATATAACATAAATAATATGAAATGTAACATATAAAATAACAAAATAAAATACCGTATTTTAAGTCTAAAAATATCTATACCTATTACATAGATAAACCAAAATTGGAAAGTATTAAAAAGGCAGCTGTGTACCTGTGGAAAAGATTTAAAGTTTAAAATCTAATCATAGGGATTTAAGTCTAGGCTCCTTTGCTGGATGATCTTAAGCCATTTGTCCTCCTCATGGGTTCAAATTAGATCATTTAAACGTCTTTGCAAATATGAAGCCCTACACCAATGCTGGGTTCTATGAACTTCTTTGCCTTTAAAAATACCCACTTCCTTCATGGTTACATGCAGAATGGAAAGTGACAGTGGCATGCAGAATGGTTATATACTCAATAAACACCTGCTGCTGTCATAAAGCTCAATATTTCTCACTCCTCACCCTACATTATTATGGCATCTTTGGGCATAAGGAGAACACATGATCAATGTTTCTCCTTTCCCGTTTCCACAGATCTGTTCTCATGGATTCAGAGAACATCTTGTGCAGAATCAGCAGTTCATAACCATGTGTGAAGTCAAAGTCATCATCAAGGTCATACTAGAAGGTCATTATCCATCCTGAAGTCAACACAAGTAATTTGCAGGACAATTTAGCGCTAATTTAATGACGACATTGGGTGGTGCTTTGTTTTTTTCTGCACCAGTATACTCATGAGCCAAAGAATGAGAGGAATTCCAACCCTGTCCTGATTCAAAGCATTGACTTAAGAACTAGGTCCTCCCTTCTTCCAGGGAGGAACAGCCTTTTTATGTTGTCAAATGAGATGGCAAAAGTTGCCAGGTGAGCTCGCACTCCAGCTAAGTTCTCCACATAGGCTCCCCAAAATGAGAATATTCCTGAATCACTTAAGGATCACCTTCATAGAGCACAGGGAATACAGTCAATAATATTGTAATTAACTATGTATAGTGCCAGATGGATACTAAACTAATCAAGGAGATCACTTCGTAAATTATATAAATGTCTAACCACTATGCTGTACCCCTGAAACTAATATAAAATAATATTAAATGTCAACTCTAATTGAAAAAAGGAATTTTTTAAAAAAATCACCTTCAGCATTTCGTCTCAATCAGAATTATATTCTGTCTCTCCCATATGGTGTTTGTTTGTTTAACTGACCAACATTTAAAAGTTAGAAAATTTTGACATTAAAAATCCAGATTCTAGCGTCTCTTGAACAGTCTGAAGATTTAATGCCACAACGTCTGAACAGGCACTTGGCAATGGCTGAGTAGGGGACATTCCTTCCAGATGGACACATGTTCTCTCATTTCTTATCTCTTCCTACTTCCTGACTCCTAGCTGACAGACAACTGTGTCTGTGGTCCCTGATCTGGAGCCACCAGAGGGGAAATGCTGAAGAGAGGGATTCTTGGTGCTACAAGAACTGAAGGACCCCAAATGTCCAACAACTGATGAGAGAAATAAAATTTGGTATATCCATACAATGGAGTATTATTCAACAACAAAATGGAACTGATGACATGCTACAACATGGATGAACCTTGAAAACATTATGCTAAGTGAAAGAAGCCAGTTACAATAGACCACATATTGTATGACTCCACTGATATGAAATGTGCAGAATAGACAAATCCACAGAGACAGAAAGTAGACTACAGCTGGGGAGGTGCGGGAGGTATGGGAGTGACTGCTAATAAGTACAGAGTATCTTTTAGGAGTGATGAAACTATTCTAAAGTTGATTGTGGTGATCATTACATAACCCTGTGAATATACCAAAAACCAGTGAACTGTATACTTTACACGAGTGAATTGTATGGTATGTGAACTATACCTCGACAAAGCTGTAGGAAGAAGGAAGAGGAGGAGGAGGAGGAGGAGGAGGCAACGACGAAAGAAAGAAAAGAAACATATATTTCTAAGAGCAGAAAAAGAAGAAGAAGAAGAAGAACAACTACAACAACAACAACAACAACAACAACAACAACAACAACTAAAGGGAAGAGGGGCCTGATGCCAGCAGTTCACAGATCTCTGTGGAATGGAGAGGGGACTGAGAGGTTGATTCAAAGACGGGTCTCGTGTACCCCTCTCTGATTGTAGGGGCTCTTAGAGGCTACAGAACTGAATGGCAGTGCTTGGAGGCTGAGTAGTCAGTGACCTGTGCTCAGGACATACACCCAGAGGTTCTGACGTGGGACATGAGCAGCCAACAGAGCCAGTTGGGAGTAACTAATGCTGGTCAAAGTCCATTTTATTGGGCTGCCCAAACCCCAGGATGGAGGCCAGGAGGCATATAATCCCAAAGAGAAATGACACGGGCAAGGGCACCAAAACAATTTTATATTGAACTTCTTATCAACTTGGAGAGTGGCAACTTGAAATGAATTTCATTTTAGAAAAATAAAGATCGTGTGTGTGTGCATGTGTGTGCGTGTAGCGTTTTTCAAATACCAAAGTTTGTGACTGGTTTACTCTTTTTAAAAGAAGGCTGATTCAAGGCTACCATAAACAGAAAAACAATCTCACCTCTGCATTCCCACATGCTCTCCAGAGCAGCAGAGAACAAGAGTGGGGTCAGAGCAAATGCACCGTGAATCACTCATATCCTATAACGCTTCTTACCTGTGCTGGCACCTGAGAACTCTTCTGGGAATAGTAAGGTGATGTGAAGACCCTCTATCATAGAGTGATGGGGGAAAAGGCTAAAATATCTTGTACCAACTGGTGGGTAGAGAACTTAAATAAAATAAAGATTTCAATAGCTGAGTCCTTGCCTTCATGAAGCTTACAATTTATTTTAGGAGGAAAAATATCACAGCCAGAATCCTTTTCAAAGCAGCAAGTAGCTTCTCAGTAAATTCTGTCATTTATTGAAAACCTATTCTTTTCCAAGCACCAATCTAGGTACTTTACCTACTTTATTTACAAT